GCTGGTGGGATTTCGGTGGGGTCCAGCGGGCTGACGTCTTACGCAGATCAGATCGGGACTTCGCCATCCCCGGGGGGCTGCGAATGACGAAGTTGTCGCCACTTTCGGTGGTTGCTGGGGGGTCCAGCGGAGTGATGGCTTACGGTGATCAGAGCGGGACCCCGCCGTCGCTGAGGGGCCGCGAAGTGCGAAATTGTCTCCAATTCCGAGGGTTGTGGGGGGTCAAGCGGAGTGGCGTCTCACGCAGATCAAAGCGGGACCTCGCCATCCTTGGGGGTTTGCGATCTGCGAATCTGTCGCCAGTTTCGGAGGGTGCTGGGTTGGGGGCAGTACACAGTACAGTGACGGCATGCGCGGATTCTGAGTAGACCTCGCCATCTTCAGGGGGCTGCGTTTTGCAAATTTGTTGCTGTTCTCAAGGGCTGCGGGGGGAGGCCAGCACAATGACGCCATGCGCGGACTACGACTCGCCCTCGCCCATCCCTGGGGCGCTGCAATCTGCAACATTGTCGCCAGTTTACGGTTTTTTTTGGTGGGGCAGCACAGTGACACCATGAGCGGGTTCAGTCCAGACTTCGCCATCCCTGGGGGGCTGCGATCTGCGAAACCGTTGCCATTGTCGAGGTTGCTCGGGGGGAAGGTGGACAGCACAGGAACGCCACACGCGGAGTTGCCCTACACATTGCAAAGGTGTCGTCAGTTTCGGGGGCTGCTGGGGGGGGGTGACAGCACAGTGACGCCACACGCGGGTTCAGATTAGACCTCGCCATCCTTGGGAGGTTGCGATTTGCGGAGTTGTCGCCACGTTCGAGGACCGCTTTGGGGGGGCTCCGCATTCACCAACCGCCGCTTCGCCGACGACATGCTCCTGACCACCCAAACTCTACCGCGCTTCACCGCAATGCTCGACGACATCGTGCGCGCAGTACGACCTCACGGACTTGAGCTGCCCCCTTCCAAAGTGTGATTCTAGAGGCCCGCGGGCCCCCAAGAAGCCACCTTGGGCCCTCTAGTTGCCTGTACAGCCTAGCTCAGAACCCTTGAACCCTTTTCCTGGGCCGCTGTTGTGGTTCAGGGAAAGGGGGCCTGTCGGCCCCCTTTCAGGAGCTTGCGCGCGGGGTACTGAAAATAATCCGATCAGTCTCATGTTTCCCAATTACATTACCCTCTAAGATGGTCGAGAGGCCTCGAGGAACCAGGAGCCCATCCACATGTGGTAAGCGGAGCGACGGCAACGACAACGGTCACGACAGCAAGCAGAGATGGGAAGTCGTGGATGATGACAATGGGGACGACAACAATTGGATTCAGAACAGGACACGGCAGAACAGCTCGTGGGACCCTTGGAGTTCATGGATCAAACATCGAGAAACCGATTGGGGAGCTTGGCAGTGGGCAAGCGACGGCTCGAACGATGACTACTGGGCCGAGAATGACAAGTACGAGCACGACAGATACGAGCACGAGGACACACCGTCGGACATATCATCACGGTCGAGAGGTTTCGGCACGCCAGAGCAGGTCAAAAAGGTTGTACGCCTTCGTCGAGGACGACTCGAACTGGACGAAGACCAAGACGGGGGACGACGACCACCAGGAGGACGCAGAGGAGGAAAAGATCCACCGTGTCCAGCCTGGGACGGCAAGGATCTCAGCGAGTGGCCCGAGAAGGGGCTGGCCATAGACAGGTGGAGCCGACTCACGGCGGTCCCACCTGAGGAGCAGGGCGAGACGTTGCTGCTGCACCTGACAAAGGAGGCGGCGATAGCGACCAGGCATCTTCGACCAGGAAGTGTGCAGTTCGCGGGAGGGCTGCAGACGGTGATCATGGCGCTGGACACGCTGGCCTTCCCAGAGGCGGACGCCGAGACGTTTCAGCTGCTCGAGAAGACGCTGTTCGCAGCACCGAGATCGCGAGATGAGACGCCCATGAAGCTCGCGAACAGGATCCGAGCGGAACAGAAGGAGCTGGTCAGGTTGCTACCTAGCGCGCTCAACGAGACGGTCAGGGGCTTCCTGCTGATTCGAGGGGCCGGCCTGGCCAAGACGGAGCGCAACCAAGTGCTCATCCAGACGGGCTACGACTACGACGTGAACAAGCTGGTAGCGATCCTGAAGCGCATGACGGACGACAACACGGTCACGGAGAAGACCTCGACTACCAGAGCGGCTTCCTACATGGCGGGAGTTCGGGAAGAGGAGCCGCAGGAGGAGACTGAGGCCGAGGGCGACGACAACCCCATCTATGACGCGATGGCGAACCTGCTGGGCATACAGGACGACAAGGAGCCAGACGACAAGCTCGAGAACGGCGAGGCTCTCACGGAGGCCGAGGCGCTGGACTGCTTAGCGGCGCTGGTCGGGCCATCACCAAAGCCCAGGACATGGGGTGAAGCTCGGAAGATCGTGGCCGACAAGAAGACGAACAGGGGGTTCCACAACATCAAAGACAGGAAAAGGACCGAGGAGAAGATAGAAGACATCAAGAAGAGGACAAAGTGCGGCATATGCAAGAAGCTGGGTCACTGGCGCAAGGAGTGCCCTGACAATCCGAAGAACAAGGGCAGGGTGACGGGCGGCTTATTCGCGATGACGGTGCTCCAGGACGACGAGGTGTGTAGCTACGTGGCGACGGGGGCGAAGATGGCGGAGAGATCCAACATTGTCGAGCACATCACGCTGGCAATCGACATCGAGAAGTTGGGCAGACCAGGCTGGGGCGCGGTCGACACGGCATGCGACTTCAACATGATGGGCCTGGTCACCTTCGACGCCTGGGCCAAGCGCTACAAGGACTTGCACAGCATCACGCTGGAGACGGTGCCCTACCACAAGAAGTACAGGTTCGGGAACGACCAGGTCTGCACGGCGACGGAGGGCGTGTTCATTCCGATCATGCTGAGCCACTTCAGCGGAGTGATCTTCGCGCGCCTGGTCAAGGGCGCGGCCCCACTGTTGCTCTCCGAGACGTTCGTTGTAGAGCTGAAGGCGTCACTACACGCGTTCCAGTCGGAGTTGGACCTGCCAGAGCAGAACGTCAGACTTCCCCTGGCCCACGCTGGAGGTGAGCACTTCCCGCTGCAGCTCGACAACTTCGCGCGCCCGTGGAAGAAGCCTGAGAGCTGGGGTCTGTGCTCGAGGGAGGTTTCGATGGACTTCGGAACGAGCTCGGAGCATATCCATCTATCATCTACGTCGGGCCCCAAAGACCTCGAGAGGCCCCAGAAGATCGGGAGCTGCTACTTCTCGGGCGTCTTGGGCACTACAGCGGTTTCAGAACAACCTGAACAACGGGTAAGATGAGATCGTAGGACGAGCACCCGACACATAATAGTAGCACTAGCACGAGCACGAAGGGGAGTTGGAGGAGCACGAGGTCCGGAGGGTAGAGTACAAGAGCACGGCAACGAGCTAGACAAGAGCAAAGGCAAGCACAACAGCGCCAGAGAAGACAGCAACTACGACAATCCAAGCAAAGAGAACAACAAGTGCAATGACATAGTGGCCGAGGTTCTCAAACGTAAACTGCTGGATAAACCACGTGCGATCTCCAAAAGCTGGCTCGGCACGAGTCAGCTTTCGCGAACGGGTTCTCCCAGAATCTCTTCAACCAGTATTTCTCCATATTTCCATGTCATGCGACGAGCTCCCAAGTACCTCTACTCGGCGCTCGCAGCCTTCATCATCGCGAAGGCCACTAACGACTGCGGGTCAGGCGGAGACCACAGAAGCCGCGGCGAAGCCTGTGAATCCCCAGAAGGACCCGAAGGTGCGGGACAACCCAGAGAGGGGGAAGGGTTTTCAGTGGCCGTGGCACGAGATAGACAACCGACCGAGGCCGCCAACGGGAGCAATGATCTGCAGGTTCTTGGGCATCCCCAACCAGGGCCCCTGTCCACCGAAGAGCAACCCGAGGCAGGGTCGAGACCACGATCCAGCTCGAGAGACGGCGTGCGTTCACGAGTTCACGGGCCACGGCGGCAACGGTCGAGCGTTTTGGGTGCAGTGCTGCGGCTGCAAGATGCACCTCGAGTGCTACCCACAGTCAGCCCCAGGGATGATGAAGGTCATCAACATGCTCAACGACTTCAAGGACGAGGAGGCGAGGATCAAGGGATGGAAGCCCAGAACGGCCAAGACCAGCAGCAAGAAGAAGGAGGAGACCGAGACGGGACCAACAGCGACCAGCAGGACGGCATCGACAAGCCCGAGGACCTCTTCCAGAACCAAGCCAAGGCACCAGGACAACCGGTGTCAGAAGGACGAGCTGGAGGAGGAGACAGAGGACTGGGAGCAGCTGGACGACTCCCCACGGAGCAAGGCCTTGACAGCGCTGCGCGAGCTACTTCAGGACGAGAACGCCAACGCGACGACCAATCAGCTGGTGGAGAACCTCCGCGAACACCTCGGAGCCGACATCAGCGATTGCTAGAGAAGCTCAGCGACAAGCAGAACAGCGTGATAAACAAGTCCATCAATCAGACCAGCGACTTCGAGGACCTGACTCAGGCAGTGGAGGCCGCGATCCCCGAGAGCAGCGCCTTCGTGAATCAGGTCGCCCTCAACTTCGAGCCCGAGCTGGACCACCCCAAGGGGGGCGATCGGGCAGAAGGGGGCGCGACCAACAAGGAGATCGTGACGCCCATGGGTTCCCATCTGCTGACGAGGATGGGGCAGTGAGAAGTCTGGAGCAAGCTTCAACACTCAGCGCCTCTCATGGTAGTTATCAAGCCTCCGAAGGACATCTACAACACTAAGTTGAGGGAGAAGATCGGCAAGGAGATGCTGACGTTCATCTCAGACGTGGCGATCAAGCAGGCCGTCAACGGCAGGTACTGCTATTACGAGCAGGACATGAACTCCAGGGACTGGGAGGATCCCCTCATCAAGAAGCTCAAACGTCTACCCGACATCGGCGAGGACAGAGCGCTTCGGAAGGGCCGCAAGTACTTCTCCAATCTACCCAAGGAGGCCATCGAGTACGCCAAGTTGTTGAGCCAGGAGTTCGTGAATCGACCACCTCACACCGCCCTCGGGGACATTGACGACTCCCTACAGGAGCTGGTTGGGGTGCTGGTTCGGACGATCATCAAGATGAAGACCACGAAGGAGCTCGGGAAGCAGATCGAGGACAAGTGTACAGCATGATGCGCGGCACCTACGACACCAACAACGGAACCAAAAGACGAGAAGAGCACGGGCCCTCACGTCAAGCAGCAGGTTCAGAAGATCCATGAGAACATGGGCCACTGCAGCAACGAGAACCTCGTCGTGGTGCTGAAGTACGGCAAGGCCAGACAGGCCTTCGTTGAGGCGGCGCAGAAGCTCGAGCGCCCGAGCTGCGAGGCGAACAAGAGGTCGAAGCTCGCGAAGCCCTCCAAAGCCCCGACTACCTACCAGTTCAACGATGTCATCGGCATGGACATCTTCTTCGTGCTGGAACCCGAGAACACCACCAAGGTGCCCATGCTGAACATAGTATGTCACGGTACTGGACATCAAGTGGTGATACCTCTACCGAGTCGACATGGCCCACATATACGACGTCATTACCGCGCATTCTGGAAGCGTGTTTACGGGGTGCCCCGCATGATAGTCATTGATGGCGAGAAAGGTTTCTCTGCAGGTGAGTTTCCAGAAGCTGCTGAAGGAGATGGTTCCGAGATCAAGGTGACGAGTGCTACTTCGCCATGGCAGGCGGGCAAGACCGAACGCGCTGGAGGCACCTGGAAGGAGACCTTCTACCGAACCAGGCAGAAGTTCAACACCAACAACTGGGAGGACTTCTACGAGCTCGTGGATGCGGTCAACGTGGTGATGGGCGAGAGCGTTCGCAGAGGAGGTTTTACACCGTATCAGAGAATTTTCGGACGACCATTTCGACTTCCTGAGAAGATCTTAGAAGAAGGATCACCAAGTTGGTCAACGGTCTCCAGAGCGATGAACGGTGACACCGAGTTGGCCAGGAGCATCGACATGCGCAAGGCCGCCATGGCTGCCTACATCGAGGCCGAGTGCTCAGAAAAGTGGAGACGGGCGCTTCAGAGGAGGACGAGACCTACTAGAGGCACCACTTTTCAGCCAGGAGATCGATGTTATTTCTGGCGAAGCAGTACTGACAAGCTGCCAACTCGTTCTTGGCATGGACCTGCACGCGTCATTCAGGTGGGGCTTCCGAGTACAGTGTGGTGCTCATATCAGGGAGTACTCAAGTGTTCACCTGAACAGCTTCGACATGCTAACGAGGCCGAGGTCGCAGCCTGGGAGCAGATCGACAACACCATGAAGGAGGAGTTGAACACCGAGAACAGAGGACGTCGTACACACGAAGACCTCACTCGACAAGATCAGCCACCAGACGATCTTGAAGTGCCCCACGTTGCTCCACCAGAGCCAGCCGCGGATGATCAAGGAGCAGCCTCACAGCCGCCCACCACAGAGATCGAGAAGGCCGCGGATGTCAACCCAGAGCTGATTCCCATGGCCACCAAGAACTACGATCATCTAGACGACGTGCCGTTGACGATCAAGCAGAACATCAACAATCCGATCTCAGCCATACCAGTCAGCGAGCGGATTGCCGTCACCGAAGCAAAGATCAACAAGGAGGCGGAAGCACCACCCAAGAAGAAGGTTAAGAAAGTGAAGGCACCAGTCGTCAGCTCAGCCATGCTCACCAACACCAATCAACGACTTCGTAAGGAGATTACTGAGAAGTCACTTCTGATCACCTACAAGTACCAGCCCTACATCGCCGCTAAGCGTAGAGAGTGGGGCAACATCACGAATGCCCAAGCAATTCGACTACTTCCACCTGCTGAAGCCGATAAAGTACGTCAAGATCCCGATCGGGCTTCCAGGATCATGGGTTCCCGCTGGGTGCTCACCGACATGGGCGCCAATCCTGAGGAGGTCGACGCTAGCAAGCGGCAGTTGATGTTCATGAGCGGCGGCATTTGGAGGATGGCAAAGGCTAGCTGGACCGTTCAAGGACACACCGACCCCGACCTGCTCGACCTCGAGACCTACAGCCCAGTCGTCGGCAAGGACTCCGTGTTCCTGATTTTGCAGATCCTGTGCTCTAACAAGTGGACCTTGCAGCTAGCAGACATCACTTCGGCTTTTACCGCTGGAGATCCACTCGATCGATCTCAAGGCAGTCTTTATGTGGAGCTTCCTCGCACCGGGATTCCTGATGTGGAGGACGGTTCGCTGGTGGAGTTACTCAAGGCAATGTATGGTCTAGGCGATGCTCCATTACAATGGCTATCAGCTTTTACCAAGTACGCCAAGGAGATCGGTTTCCAGTGCTCCATCTTCGACAGCTGCGTCTTCTACCTGAGAGACGAGAAGGGACTTCACGGCATCATGGGCCTCACTGTGGACGACATCGTGGGAGGTGGAGACGTTCTATTCGACGCTGCCTGTCAGAAGCTACGAGAAAGGTTTCCTTTCAGAGCGTGGCGTCACAACAGCGGGAAGTACACCGGTAAGGAGCTACAGCAGAACGAGGACAACACCGAGATCACGATATCACCAAGTTTCAGTTCGAGTAGCATCCAGCTAATCAATATAGCCACTGAACGCCGTAAAGAGCCTCATTCTGCAGTCACACCTGAAGGACTCCACCAAGCACGTCGTTTGTGCGGGTCAATTTCGTTTCTGGCCCGTGAAAGCAGGCCCGATCTATCTGGTCCAGTGTCCCTACTTCAAGGAAAGATGCCCAACCTGGTGGTGGACGACTTGCTGGAGGCGAACCGCATCGGCAGGATGACTAAAGAATTCAGCTCGGTGATTCTCAGGATCAGGCGCATTCCATTTCATGAGATGGCCTTTGCAGTTTTCAATGACGCGGCCTGGGCAAATGCCAGAGATGGAGCTTCGCAGGCTGGATGCATCGTGTTCGCCACACAGCGCAAGATTCTCAAAGGGGAGCCCGCCATCATCTCGATCCAGTCCTGGAAGAGTCACAAACTTAAGAGGAAGTGTGCTCACCAGTTCGGTGCCGAGACGCTGGCGATTTCAGAAGGAATGGCCATGGGGGAGCTCATGCGCACCATGTTGCTCGAGATTACGGACAGCGAGTTCGACCTGATGCGGCCCTACATGCTAGCATCCAAGTTTCCAGTGATCAGCGTCACCGATTCCAGACGCGGCTACGATCACGTGACCAATCCCAAGGCAGCGTGGCCGAGGACAAGCGCGCCGCCATCGACGTAGCTATCGTTCGAGCAGCCATGCAACGACCAGAAGTTCACCTACGGTGGATCGAGGGCACCAGCCAACTCACCGATCCACTCACCAAGCGTAAGGGCGAGAGCGCCCTACTACGACAAGCACTACATGACGGGGAATACGGCATCACCGCAGACAGCATCGTGCTTCGCCGACGATACGAGGACAGAGTTCGACGCCACAAAAAGGAGCCAGTCAATTTCGCCGTGACCGACTGCTGCTTCTCTGGACTCCACTTCTACGAGATGGACTGTCTTGGCACTTCAGGAGTCACCAGCAACGTGGACGACCTCAACTACGAGCCCGAAGCCTACAAGCGCCTCAGGGAGACCCAGCAGATCTTCAGAGAGAGGCCTGAGGCTAGTCGCTTGAACCAGGCGAGAATGAGGTCGAGGAGTTGCACGAGTTCTGAGCAGTAGAGTACCGCCAGTGTGATTCTAGAGGCCCGCGGGCCCCCAAGAAGCCACCTTGGGCCCTCTAGTTGCCTGCGCAGCCTAGCTCAGAACCCTTGAACCCTTTTCCTGGGCCGCTGTTGTGGTTCTGGGAAAGGGGGCCTGTCGGCCCCCTTTCAGGAGCTTGCGCGCGGGGTACTGAAAAGAATCCGATCAGTCTCACGTCTCCCAATTACATTACCCTCTAAGATGGTCGAGAGGCCTCGAGGAACCAGGGGCCCATCCACACAAAGTCCAAATACTGAGCAACCAGACCAGACGGACCGGCAGGGCAAATCCGCGCACAGTGCGCATTCAGGACATGGACGTCGACATCTTTCCCCACGATGGCAGCGTCACCTACCTGGGTCACTCGATCAGCTTTCACGACGCGATGGAAATTGATACCCACCACCACACGAGGGCAGCATGGGCAACGCTCGCTTCGCATAAGCAGGAGGTGACAAGCAAACACTTTCTGCTGGCGCACCGACTCCGGATTTTCAACCGCACAGTGACGCCTACAGCATCTTGCGGAGCATAGACATGTACACTCATTGAATTTCCTCGGCAACACTTGCGGCGAACACAGCGACGCATGTTCCGCATGATCAGCAGGACACCGAGGCGGCGCACGACCCGCCAAACGACCGCTAGCAGTACACAGGGCGACGCGGACGACGGCACGACTAACCGAGCACCTGACAGCGTTTATCGAGAAACCAGCTGAAATGACGACGCAGAAAGCAACACACCCCAACAAGACAAAACAGACTCACATCGCGGAAGCAATGGCAACAACAATGGCGAGATCGCGATGGAACCGCGGGCCGAGTATATCCAACGAGCCACGAGTCGCACAAAGCAGCTCATGCAGCACTATCGCGTTGAACGTTGGAGGGGCGATTCGCAGACAAAGATCGTGGCGCATGGTAGCGAGGGTTGTCAATCACGAGCCCACCATATGGACGTGGCGCGCAGTGCACTGGCAACCAGGAGAGAACCCACGCCAACGCGGACAGAGACAACGCGGCGGCCAGCACAAGCGCTGGGACGACGACGTCGCCAGTTTCTTGCAACTGCACGGACCCGACCGCCATCCAACGCTCACACCAACAGCTGCGAAACTGGCAAGCCAAACGACCTCACTTGGATTCATTCGGCTCAAGACGCTTCCACGTGGTCGATACTCGAGCACAAATACACCAACACTTCGCCGACAATCACAACCAGGACTTCCTCCTCTCCTCCTCCATCCTGCGTAACTTTTTGTGCGTTTCACAGTTTCATATATTCTGTATGTCTCGCAGTGCCCACTCATGTCTGTATGTCTACAGGAGGCCATGGCCTCACCCACTTGGTCTTCGCAGGCCCGGACGCTGTCGGCGGTGGTGGTTCGTTCGTTCGTTCGTTGGTTCGTGGGGGGGTGGGGGAGGGGGGCAGCACAATGACACCATACGCGGATTGTGAGTAGACTTCGCCAGTCTTGGCGGATTGCGATCTGCGGATTTGTCGCCACTTACGGGTGCTGTTGGGGGGGCCAGCACAATAACGCCATACGAGGATGTCGCCTAGATCTCGCCATCGCTGGGCGGCTGCGATCTGCGAAATTGTCGTCATTTCCAGTAGCTTGCTGGGGGGCGGCGTAGGGGCCCTACCCAGACTCATATCGAGGGCTGTTGGGGGGGGGCATAGTGGGCAATTCCCGCGGACATAGATTAGACCTCGCCGTTCCCATTGGGGAGCTGCGATCTGGGAAAGTGATGTCAATTTCGGTGGCTGCGTTGGTGGGGCACCTCCATAATGTCTTTGTCCATCGGCCGGTGCCCTGCGAGTCGCGCGGTTTGGCGAGCCCCCCAATCAGCGCTCGCAGCGGTTACAGGTCTTTGTCACGTGATCACCCCCTGCAACTTCTCCCCAGCCGTTTGGGCCGCACGTTGCGCAAGGGTTGGGTTTCATCGTCAGAGCACCTTTTGAATTTACGCAGTTTCCGAATTCGGTTCCCGCCAACGAATTCCATTATGTGCCCACGTGTCTCCAACAAACTCGGCATTGCAACCCTTGAATCAGGAGGACGAGGAGGAGGAGGATCGATGGAGGATACGGCCAGGGTTCTTGCAGGAGGACGAGGAGTTGAGGAAGGCACACTCGGCGGAGAGATTGTTTTGAAGAGGGAGATGAGGTGGAACTGATTGAGGAGGTTCGGAACGCCCGGGGGGAACAAAGGTTGTGTGGGGCGCGATGCCGAGGGTTGCGACGATGGGGGGGGGTGCTGGATTATGGTTTAAAAAAAGGCGTGCGGTACAGGTCGAGGAGGAGCAGGAGGGACAGATGAGGGATAGTGGCGTGTGTTGACGAGGAGAAGGTGGGCGATGGAGGAGAGATGCAGATTCGGAAGAGGAGACAGGAGGAGAGATGAGAAGGGACAGCAGCAGGAGGATTGAACAGGCCAGGAGAAACATGTTTCGCGCAGTACCCAGCCGCTGTTGACGTGGACGACGTGTGTAGTAACGATTCGCACAAGGCGGGAGAAGGACGAACAAATGTGAGAAAGGTTGGGAATTGGGCAGTGGCGGTGCATCTGACTGAGGTGCGCTACGCCCCAGACGAGTCCAGCTTGGCGGAACCGTAGCTGGGGGAACTGACAGGGATCAGGGAGCAATGAGGCGGCGGGCTGACCGAGTGGGCTTTCCCCGAATTAGTTCAGGTGATGTTGTGTTTGTTATCAGTGGTGTGGAAATGGGAACGCCGGGAAAGCAGAAAGCGCGAAGTCGATATGACATATGAAAAGTAAAAGAGGCATGGGATCTGTGGATGAATTTATCGACTGGAGTCGTGCGATGATCATTCTGGAGTGCACAGATATCTTGTTGTGTTTCTCGGCCGAGTTTGGTATTCAATTGGGCACCTATCGTGCCCAGACCTCCCTCTGACGTCTTGAGTGCTCTAAGACGTGGCTCGAGTAGCTCTCAACCCCATCCCTGGGACCAGCCTCGTCTTCCTTCTCATCTTCGTCCTCATCCTCCGTAGCCATTCTTGCTCAAATCATTCTGGCTCAGTCCAAGTCTAGCCAAGTCATCCAGTGTGTCGTTCACTGGCGGACCCAACCTTGCCACATCTACATATTTCTGCCGCCTGCGCGGTGCATGCGCCGCCGACTCGGCGCTCTCTTATTGTTTATTATTACTTGTGCGCTCACCCGACCGAGACGGGAAGACCAACATTGCTTGATCAGCAAAGAAGTGACAAGCGTGCTCGTTGTCAAAGCGGACCAGGTTTCGCAACGTTCAGGGGAATTTCCAACCCTGGCGACGACGCGGGCAAGGTCGACGAGAGATTCCTCTTTTGGGTACGTGATGCTCTCGCCCAGGACGTCAAGCAGATGGCCATGGATGCCGTTCGAGATGTGGCTATTGAAGCTGCCATTGCAGCTGCCTCCAAGCAGTTTGCTCAGGTGAACGTCGCCGCAGCCCTGCGCCTTCTCCAAGCAGGACGAGGCCTAGCAGGCGCATTTTGCCGCGCAGGCCGCGCAGGTTCCACTGTCTCTTCGAGCATCTCGCGTATGGAGCAGGACCGCGAACTCATCAAGCAGCAGGTGCAGGACCTGTCCAAGCGCATGGGCATCGCGGAGCAGCCTGCGACCGTCACCAATTTGCAGATACAGGCGGCCTTACGCCAACTACCGCCGACCGAGTGCCACCCCACCATCAGGCTCAATACCGAGGACTTCGTTCCGCAAGCCGAAGGCCACGTTCTCGTCATCAGGCTTTCCAAGGCCGCCAAAGTTGCCGAGAGTCGTGTTTCAACTATGGGAAGTGCCGTGGATGAGAACTTCACCGTCCGCCTCGACGGCATGCCTGCTGCCGCCGCCATGGCAGTCCAAGGTATCTTCGGCCAGTGCCGGGACAACCTTGGAAGATCGAAGACCGTTTTCATCGACAACCCGCGCGGCAAGGTCAAGGCGTACTTAGTTCTTGACGCACTTGCAGCTGATCCGTCATTTGCAGTCCCGATTCCTTGGGCACGCCTGGAAACCCACGTACTTCAAAACATGTTGCTCCATGTTCTTCAACACTGTCTGGATCGCCTCGGGCCGCTGTGATGATACCGCCAACCGTGCGACATTGTGGATCCATGATGTGGAGTTGGCTCGCACGCCTATCACAAAAGGAGTTGTTGGATAACCCGCCGTTGCGGCATGTCGTGCGATTCGGCTTTCTTTTGCCAATGTTTTTACTTCGGGCCCGGTGCCTCGGTGGACTCCGCATTATAGTTAGTTGTTTGCTCGGCAAAGGGAGCCCGCCCAGCAGTTGGCATTCCCGTTTTCAAGATGTTCTATGGAATGTTCAGGCGCACGCAGAAAGTCAATTTGTTCGCCAGCCACGCGAAGGAAGCTGATCTCTTCTTTCTGGAAGAAGCACGCGGGGATGGACAACATGTCACTGATGTGCTACGTCCACTTGCTCAACGTTTTGATTTCGTATATTCGCCGACGGCCACCGAAATCTCCGGGTGCGGATTCACAGCTTGGTCAAAGGTTTGGGTTGGATCGGCCGAGTGGGTCCACGTGTCTCCCGTCCCTAGTCGTGTCCTGGCTTCAGCCGCCCAATTCAATGACATGGAAGTCCGCTTCTTCAGCATCCACAATTTCGGTATCACGAACGCCCGGTCCACAGCAATTCCCGACAGCATGGCCACTGACTGGGAGCGGACGGGCGAGCGACCCGAGCATCGTGCTCCACTCTTGTCTAGCGACCAGAACATCGGACCGCCAGGTACGGATCATCATCATCCAGAGCGCCCCGAACTTCCGCTATCTAAAAAAACCCTCGCACCCAACCAACGACTGAGGCAACATTTCCCGAGGCACGGACCATCTCATCGAATTCCATTCGCCGCATTCTACGCGCTACCGTATGGCCTCCATCTCGCTCTACAGCGTGAACCACATCTACCTGGCCTTTCTCGCCTTTGGCATGACCAACGCGATCGTCGAGCCACCTGCCCATTGCGCCCGTTGGTTGGAGTGGTCCAGGCAGGAGATATCTGACCACGCCCCATACATTAATCACCTCCGTTCCCCTGATTTTGCCCCTGCCCGGCAGCTTCGCACCGTGGGACGTCGCGAAAAGCACGGGGTTCCAGAGCATCCCCTAGCAGTGGATGCCGCGCGCGAATGTCGTCCATTTTCGAGCGAAGGCGGTCCTCAAAGCTGCTCCATGATGGCCCGCAACGCCCTGGCCCAGCGTGGGGGGCCGATTTCGACAATGCTCATTTTGCTCACCACCGTCTCCCGCTGCATCTGGCGCAACGACATCCACGTTCATGACAAGCTGGCCCATCACCAACCGCAGGCTCGCCGGCACATGGAAGTCCATCGTGGTCGCGTCCGCCTGCGGGGCCCGATCATGTTCGAGGTCGCCATGGTCGACGTCAGAACGAGCTGCCCAATCTGGGGGCCACCGAAGAATGCGATGGATTTGGCCATCGTCACCCCTCCTACCCCCCTTCCGCTTCGATTAGTTGGCGAGGGAATTCTGCGGCAGTTACTTCTTGTTTCTTCATCGTCTTCGTCGCCGCGCGCCTATTCGGGGTTCCCGTAGCCATGTTGGCCCGAGTTTCCAGCGCCGCAACCGCGCTGGGTGCTTGGTTCCAGTCAAGGGAGCGGCTCAAGGCCCCTACGCTTTCGGCCTCGCCGGGGGGCCACCACTGTTTCTCAGAACAGGAAAACACACATGAACACAATGAGTTTTCGTGGTTTTACGCCGGAAGGGGGCGTCGTTGAGAGGGTGCTTGGCACGGATGCGGGGATCGGGGCGGCGTCGGCGTTTGGAGCTGTCGGTTTGCGCGGCGAGTGCGCTCAGCTGTTCGCATGTGTTCGGAACGCGTGACAGGTGGAACGGCCGCTCGCCAGCAACTGACAGTCCTCTGCCCGCGGGCCAGAACAAACCGTCGCGCGCTCGCAACGGGGCGCGGGAAGAGGGGGTTGGGAAGAGAGCGCGAGTCTCATTTCCACGAAGTCCCTTCGATAGGAAGCACACAATACTGTTTCTATTCATCTACCGCGCGGCCAACCGAACAAACGAACAACTGTCTCGGCGCGAAGTGTTAGCTTCGCTTGCGCGTTTCCTGGCTTCCTTCCGTTGCGTCCTTCGTTTCTTTCTCGCCCTCCTCGTCTTTTTCCGTTTCCCCTGCTTTGCCCTGTCCCGCCCCCCCCCTTCTTTTCCAGCTCGGAGCTGTCACCGCGCGCGAAGAGCGCAACCAAGAGGGCATTGCTGCAATTCCTCTGTGCGCCACGAAGTTCCGCGCAATTCCTTCGTGCACGGTCTGGTTGCGCTGCCGGCGCGGGGGTCGCGCAATGGAATTCCCTTCGCGTGCGATCGTTTTCGCCGCCCCCCACAAGAGCGCGCGCGATTCCTTTGCGCGGGGCTTGCTTTCCGCCTCGAGGAGCGCGCGGGGCCTGGCGCTGCAATCGCAAGGCCGCGGCGCCTGGCAGCGCGGTGCAGCTGCGCCGGATACCGCGCCACAGCGATCCTACGTGGGTTTCGGCTCTTCTGTCGAAGTCGCGCCGGCAGTTGGCCAGCCGCGTCGCCGGCCCCGCATGCCCGCGCGCGCTACTGCGTACTGCTGCCGCGACGCGTGCCGTTGTCAACGGATGAACAAACTGACGTTGCACGGCGGTTTGGCTTTGCCAAACCACCATGGCATGCTTGTTGGTAGCGGATATTGGGATCTCGTCGCCGCCGACAGCCTTGCCGCACCATGCGCGTCAACTGCATCCTAGAGCACCGCCGTGCATCAGCACTGGTTCGGATCGCTGGGGGTCCAGCGGCATGTGTGCACATGCGCTGCACCGCTGGTGGTGCCAAAACCCTTTGCGTGAAATTCCTTTGTGTGCGTGTGTGTTTTTCTGGCCCCCCGTTTCTGCTGGCGGGCAGCTGCGCGCTGGCGCCTGCTCTGCGGCCCCAGGGCGTAGACCCACCCGCCGCCGCAGGGCAGGGCGCGACGCCGGCAAGGAGAAGCAATATTGGCAGCGTCGCTACTTTGCGCAGTGGCCTGGCAAGCCTTGAGTCGATGCCGGTTGGCGCATGTGCTGCTCGGGGAGGGCCGAGAGCGGATGTGGGGGCACGCATGGGGGCTCCTGCTTTGTCCGTGCCGTCGAGCCCGAGCCCCCGTCGGCCCGCGCCCCTTGTCTCCGTCGCGCGCGGGGGGGCGGGCCGTCGATGGGGGGCCAGTCCGAGCGCCTTGCCGAGCTGGAGGCCGAGGTCGCGAAGTTTCGACGGCAGCGCTCTCGCGCGAGGCAGCTGGTGCGCAACCTGGGGTTGAGGTGCGCAACCCTCTCGAGCAACGGCCCGTGGATGATGGCGACAACGCGGCGTTGCTGGCGCAGATCGAGGCCTGCGAGCGGACGCACGCTGCGCGTGCGGGAGTTGCCGGGATGGAGCCCACCGCAGAGCAGCATGCGATGGCGAAGGCTGAGTGCGCGGCGCTGCGTCGTTCCAAGCAGCCCGCCAGCGTTCGGATCCGACAGTTCTCGACGAAGTTGCAAATTTTAAGTTCTAAGTTGGAGAAGCTCACCGCAGCCAGTCAGGCCAAGAAGGCGGAGCTTGAAAAGCTGCAGGGAGATGTCGAGCTGCGCGGTGAGAAAGGCGCAGCGCTGTTCTATCGCCAATCTCGAGGGCCAGTTGCGGGCCTTGGGTAGTGGCGCGGCTGAGCTTCCTGAAACTGGGCTCTGAGCGCGGCGCAGGTTAGCGTTTCAGCTTGGATGCGCTGGGCAGGGCCTTGCAAGCTGCTGGCGTCTCTGGCGAACTGGTGGCTACAGTCAAGTCCAACCCGCTTGTGGAACAGCTGCAACTATCTACGCGGGGGCGCGACGAGGCCTCTCAGGACGAGGCGCCTGCGGCTAAGCGAAGGCGGCTAAGCGAGGCGGCCTCGGGCGGAAGATGTCGCGATTGTTGGTGGACCTCCCCCCCCCCCTTCCCGATTTCGACAACTGCGATGCTGGCGCGCTGCGCGCTTGCCCGGGGAAGCTCGATTCACTTTGGGAGCTCTCGAAGGACGAGGCCGGTCTCCACTCCATAGCTAAAAGAGCGCATGCAGTCGAACATTGCTTGCCGCATTGATCCGCATGGCTGTCGTAGCACATGCGGGCTCGAGCTTTCATGTTGGCGAGCATATTGATCAGCGCCCTGGGATTATATTATGGGTCGGCGGCTATGGCGTCGACATCTTGGCTGCCGCCGCAGGTGGCGTCGTCTACGGCAGCACTCTCCCAGCCCGCTGGCGCTCGACGCTGCTCAGAGATAAACAGTGTCAGTTCGCCCACGCAGTTTGCGTGGCGACGGTGAGGGGCCCGGTATCAAGGGCGCGATTGCCACCGTTAATGTATCCAGCGGCGGCCCCCTCGTCGAGCATTTTGCTGCTGGGCCATACAGCAGCATCCTTCCAGTCCAAGAGCATCGCGTTGTTGGGCCGGAGTTGGCCGCGTTACTGGGCCAGGTGAAGGACCTGGGATGCCGCAGCATTTGGCAGGAGGCGGTTCCTACGGAAGTTGGCGGCACGTCAGGAGATTTGCGCGCGCTTACTAAGTCGCAAATTTCTTTCATTGCAGCTTCATTCTTCGAGGCGGACGTGGCGCCAGGCAGGTTGGGTGCTGCGCATGTTCATTTCGGCTTCAAGAGTGGCTCGGTGGCTGCGACGGCGCGCGTTCATCACTCGGTTGGGCTCGACGAGGGCAACGCCTTCATACAAGCACACTGCAGCATTATCTCATGGTGCTCGATTCCCGACGCTTCGATTTAATATGTCTTGGTTCTTTCAATTATGGACTCATCAGTACGCAGGACAGGTTGGTCGCAGGGGTTTCCAGAGGTGCACGTGGTTCCTCGGCGCGTCACTTGCGTTCAAGGTGCGGGCGCGACCATAGTTTACAGTATCATATGCAGCAACCTGGTCGCGCGCATGTCGCAGTCTTATGTGGGCCAGAATGCGGCTACGTACCCTCGCCCCCCCGTTCGCTTTCCTGTCCTGGTGCAAGATGTTGAAGCTTGGGTGCGCGTTCCTTGCGAAACCCGCTGCTGGCGGTCCAGGTTTCCGATGAGATGTGCGCGGTTTCTTTGTTGCGTCGAGTGACGGGTGGCCCTCCGTTGCGCGAAGCAGCACAGGGCCAAGCAGGGCTGTAGCGTGCTTGGGATCAGGTCGCCACGCCATTGGGCTTGCGATTTCGGGCAGATGGGATCACTCACGCCGGGAGCGCGTTGCGCATGCTGGAGGGGGGCAGCCCGTAGCCTTTTCCCTGTCTAAGCTCAAGTGGAACTCGCCACGGCGACGTTCGTATCAAAGTAAGGAGACGGCGGCGTTGCAGGTTGAAGCTAGACCGTTGAAGCATGGACATCACACACGGCAGTTGTTCTGTTACAAGGCCCAGGGGCTGATGGCGGCAAATCTGATGTGCGCGGCATCGACTGCCCAGACTACGCAGCTGCTGCAGATCGGCTTCAGCGCTTCTATTGCAAGGTTGCTCGATCGTCCTTGCTACCGTTGCTCCCGCCCGAGCTGCAGGTGTTCATTGGGCGTGGTATCGAAGTGTGGCTGGGTGATACAGCTCATGAGTGCACGGAGGGGTTCTTGAAAGTGGTGGAGGCTGCGCGGCTCAAGTTTGGACGTGCGCAGTCTAGGGTTTGGAAGGCTTGCACTCGCGAGTCTCTGGCTAATGGAGCTAGCAGAGCTCGCCGCTTTACCCGCGTGCATGTGCTGCAGGAGGTTCTGGATAAGAGTGCTATGACGAGTCCTCACCTGTTGGTTGATCGAGAGATGTGCAAGTGGGGGCGTATCTGGACCATGCATGGGCTCACGCAGTTTCACATGCCCTCGGGCTTCTACCAAGGGGACGAATTACCAGAGATGACGGTCGACTACCTCCGTTCGGCGTGTCTGAAGTTCAAGGAGACCACGGTGGTTGGGCAGACGGATATTTCACCGCGAGTCGTGTGGCAGGTGTCAGATATTGGGTTTCTTGTCATGTCGCGGCTGTTTTGCAGATGTGAGTCGTTAGGGTGCTGGTCAGACAAACGAATCGATACCACGCTGGTCAGGCTGCCCAAGGAGGGTGGAGGGTCTCGGTTTGTTGCGTCTGTCACTTCTCTGGTTAAGTTTTGGGCACGCGCGCGTAGCGTCATATCGAAGCGATGATCGCCAGTGCCGAGATGGGCGAAGTCTGGGGCACAGGTGGCGCTGGACTGAGCAGGACGGCTGCCGAATTCGATCGCCGCCGGCATGGGGAGATGGCGTCGTTGCTGGGCTGGCATACTGCTACTGTTGCGGTCGACGCTTGGAGGTGCAACGAGTCTTTCTGTCTTTGTGTGGTGCTCAACGGAGCTCGGCATCATGGGTTTCCGCTGCGGTTGGCATGGGTGGTGCTGGCGTACCTCCGTCGAACACGTGAACCGAAGGCCTTCGCCTCAGATTCTAAGCCCTTTGTCGCATGGCAAGGGCTCCTCGCTGGGTGCCCCCACTCCACCTCCCTCCTCACGCTGCGCGCCGCGCGCAGAGCCAGGCTGTGCGATGTCGTGCCAAGGGCGTTGGTAGCGACCTCGCGATACAGTGCGCGGGGGAGCGGGTGGGCGGCGCGGCCGGGGAATCTCTGGAATGCCCAAGCCAATTTCAAGGCTGTTGTGATGCAGTTTGGTACCGTGCTTCAGGATTCGGCCTCTGGCATGTCGGGGTTTGGCAGCCGCGTGGTCGCCAGGCCTCTCGTGGTTGGGCTAGTAGGGCTAGACTTGAAACATGCGCACATGCGCAATCTCGGGCATGAGCTGTCAGGGCGCAATCGGAGCAGACCGATCGCAAGAGCCCGCTTTGCCAAGCTTGGGATTCGAATGCGCAGGGCCCCCCCCTACGCGAGGCGGTAGGGAACAAGGTTTCGCGTCTCTGGAGAACGGTTTTGCTCCCAGGGGCTAGTCACTGCTGCGGGGTTTCGAGTGCGACTGACACCGAGATCCCCAGGCTCCGAGCAGCTGCGGGGGCTCTCGTGGGTGCCAGGGGTCGCGGGGGGCGCATCACGGGCTACCTTGCGACTCAGCCCGGTCCTTGGCACGATCCGATGTTCGGGGCTACCTTGGGCCCCGTTCCAGCATTATGCCAATGCAGTGTGGACGAGTCGGTTTCGCCCGGAATGCTTGGGCCGGCTTGGGGGACCTTGACTCTTGACTGACCAGCGAGCGGAGGCGTTCGAGTGGCAGCATGCGTCTGGGCCCATGGCGGTCGCTTGCCTGATATTGATGAAGGTCGATTGATCGATGGGGTCGTCGTTGTGCGGTCTGACCTCGGGGAGGCATTCTGGTCTTTGCACGTCGACCCTCGTCGCGTGGTGCAGTTGCTGCGCGCAGGCTATCAGTGGCGGCAGACGCGTAGGATCCAGGCCCACTTTCCTGATTTCCCTGTTGGTTGCGAGTTGTGGCCCCGCTGGGTCCGAGCCTCGACTAAGCCCAGCGGGGCCGCGCTCAAGGCCGCGAAGCCAGCTGGGATCATTCGATTTTTGTGGGCCATTTCTTGGTGGCAGGAAGATCGTCGGCATGCTGCCGGGCGCGCGCCTGGCGCAAAGCGTCGAGGGCGCGGATCTTCACGCGAGTCTGTTGGCCATCTTCTCTTGGAGCGCCCTGCGCTGCAGGAGACGCTTCTTGACGGCGAAGAGGAGGTGCCCATCGCAGAGGCTCAGGTTGAAATTCGAGATGGTTTCTCGGCCCAGGGCCCGATCGGGCGCCGAGTGATTTCTGATCCTCACAGCTTTGAGCGTTCGGTGGGCATGCCGATGTTGCCAGGCCTTCGCGTGCAGCCGCCTCGGGGCCCACCGATTCTCTGGCGGGGCGAGTGGGCCCCCCCCCCGAGCCAGCGAGGCAACGTCGTGTTCACGAGGCAACGTCGTGTTCACGGGCGGCTCGGGGAGGTGGTTTAACCGGCCAGAAATTCGCAGCTGCGGATTGGGTTTCGTCCAGATGTCTGATGCAGGGCCCCCACTGCGCGCCTGCTATGGGCGGCTAGCGGGGACAAGCCAGGCCGTCGGCGAAGCAGGGCGGGCGGCGATGCTGCGTGAGTTGCAAAAGTTACCGTCTTTGGAGATAGTGGCCACGGATCTCCTTGGCCTTGCCGAGGAAGCACATGAACGGAGTTCGGTCGCCACCAGTTAACCAGTCAAGCATGCGTCAGTGTGGGGATAGATCCACGCTGTTGTCGAGTCTCCGGGAGGCGCCCGCCCTGTGGTGCACTGGTGCCCCGCCCATCAGGACCTCGATGGTGCTGTTTGCCTCGGCCCCGAGCAGGGCCCTCCGTTTTGTTGCGTCTTTGGGAATACCTGGGCCGAGTTCTGTGCCAAATTGGGGCGTCGCGTGACTCGGTCGGCCGCGGGGCGACTGATCTGCATTGGCTGGCCCTGAAGATGTCGCTGGATTCCTCAGGTTTTTGGCCTGGGTTCGGGGGCGCCTCATTGAGCGCGGTTTGCGCTCGTCGGGGTCGTCGTCGGTTGACCAAAGGGCCCCCCAGCCCGAGCTGCGCGCACCTGTTGTTTCTATTCCTGGACTTGGTGGGCGCCACCTCTGGCACAACAAGGCCAGAGGTGAGTGGCGATGTCTCTGGCCTCCGTTGCCGCCCTGCCCCGTTCGACTTCTGGAAAGCGAATCGAGTTTTCGGGCGGGGCCCCAATGACTGGGAGTTGGTCGTGTCCGAGGGGGCTCGTGCGGCACTGGAGGCGGCCGACAGGCTGCTTGAGGAGTCTGCCCTAGTACCCGAGGGCTCGGCGGAGGCTCCTGCGGGGCCTGGCGGTGGGGGGCCCTGGGCGCTGACCCCCACCGATGGAGAGCCTGGCCCTGTGGGGGCGGGTGGCTCTGCTTCGGGGGAGGGGTCGGCCCCGGCGGTGGTCGCCGATCGCGCCTCGGGGCCTGGGCCGTCGTGCGGTGGGGCCCCGTCGGACCCCCTCGGGCCTCGGGCGTGGGGTTCTGGGGGGCGGGACCCTGCGGCCTGGGCCCTGTTCCGCGACCTCGGCCATCAGATGGCCAAGGTCAACGGCGTCGCCTTCTGCGAGCGATGTGCCTGTCACGTCGGAGAGTCGGGTAAAGTGGTGGCCCTCAAACGGCCCTGCAAGGGCCCCTCGGACCACCCCCCGACCCTGGCTGTGCAGGAGCACCGTGCCACGAGGATGCGGAAGGGCAAGCCGCCGCGATAACGGCTTGGTTGTCGGCCCCTCCCCACCTCCCTCCTTTTCTCTTAGCGTTTGCGTTCGGGCGACTTGGACGCATTATTTGGTTCTCTCTCTCTCTCTCTCTCTCTCCCACGCCTATTCGGAGTACTTCTCTTTGTAATGCAAGAGCCTTTCTATTGAAAATAGAATTTGAGGTGTCTCACTGCGCAATTTAATCATATCGAGCCTGCAACTGGTGAAGGATGACGGCTCGTCGCATATCGAACGTGATTCCGAGCGCAAGCAGGAGTCTGACCACGCGTTGTGGGCGCAGCAGTGAATGGCCGAGGAAGTCTCCGAGGGCGCCCAGGCCAAGCACTTGCAGAAGTTCGGCCGCCGCTGGAGGGTGAGTTCGCTGCGCTGGCCAGACATGTTTTTTGTCTTCACCGCTATCTCAAGAGCCGCAGCCGACCTTTATCCCGCCTTCCTAAGCCCCATGGTGTTCGAGGCGCTTGCTGAGGTCGCCGACCAGTGCTACTGGAGAGCGTTGCCGCTCCGCGCAATGGCTTATTCGTCCCTTGTGACACCTCCCATAGGACAGCATGACCAGTCCGTACTCCCGACAACCTTCGGCCATTGAACGGCCGGAGTGCAGGCGCCAAGATTATTGTTTGTGGAGTGGTGTTCCTGATGAACCCTTTCTTCTCTGACCAGCTTCATCACCATCGGCCTCGCGATGAATTGCGGGACAGCGTTTGCGTCTATGGCCCACAGTTGGTTGTTCAAATTCCTTGTCTCCCAGGGCTGGCCAGACTTTGTGATTAGTTTGTTTTGCTCCCTGTATGATGATGCCGTCGCTGTCATGTCCTTTCATGGCTCCTGGATCCCCAGTTCCATCATCTATTCTGGCATACTGCAGGGGGATCCGCGTAGCTCGATATTTCAGGTTCTACGCACGGACCCGCTGGCCCGCGGGCATCGCGCTGTGACTCAGGCCAAGGATCTTTTCAGGATCTTCTCAGGCCTTGATTCCGACCCGCGACTTCTACGTCTTCGTCGCCCGCGCGACGGGCTTGATTGAATTGCTCAAGTAGTGCGTCATGTCTCCCACGGGCTCGCGCTTCACAGCAGCTCTGGTTGACCTCGCCCGCGATTGGATGAACCTCAAGCCTCCTGCTCAGGCCCCGGTGCGCATCGAGTCTGTCTTCGAATGCATCGGGAGTTCGTTTGGCCAAAGCGCCAGTGCCATGCATGGGCCCGGACAGGAGAACAAGTACCAGCACCGTTGGGCCCAGCCTGGCAAAGCACACGAGTCGATGTTGCAGAACATCATCGAGCACAACATGCACATACAGACCGTTCTGAGCTATAAGCTACAATTCTTGGACCCACCGTGCACATCAGCGAATCAGAAGGAATCATGCATTGCCAAGGTTTGCAGTTGTTCCACGGGCAGCTGTACCACCATGGGCTGTGTATCACATCGACTACCTCTGCTTTCGGCGCGCGACGCCGATCGAGGGGTACGGGCTGCCCATCCTGACCCGGTTTGCGCTGACTACCTGTGGCATGACGTCGTTGACGCCGCGCGGAGGATGGCAGACGAACGCCTCGGTGCCACTCACGCGGTCGGCCCTCTCACGCGTAGATTGTGGAAGTCCCCGCTCTTTGCGCTCAACCTCGAGCGTGCGGCGGCGATGCTTCGGGATTGTTACCGCCACGGTCATCGTTCCGCCGTGTTGGGTGACTGGCCTCGCGGACGCCTTGCACGACAAACTCTGCAGTTCGCGGTGCCGCGCGCAGCCCCCAAGGAATGTTGGGGTTCCGAATGGCCCTCGTTCACCCTGCAGAGCTTCACAGACGATGACACCCTGCTCTTGGACAGCGCTGTCGCCGCAATTGCGAGCCTTTGTAGTGCACGCCGTCCTCTCCGCACCCCGTACCCTCATCTTGTGGACGTGGACGCACGGATGCTTTACGATTCGAAGGATGCACGCATTTGTTTGTCTGGCACGCTTGCTACACTTGCGGCCACCCGAATGCGGACCAGAAGCAGGATTTCGGGTGCAATGGTTTCTGGGGCCTGTTCGCAGCGCGGCTGGGTTCGGCTCTTTTTTCGGCTCGCGAGCGGTTGGGCTTGGGTTCCAAAATCGGCCTCTTCCGTGCCGACATGCTGAAAGAACTGTTTTGAGGGGTGGCCGTCCGCCGGCGGTACTGCACAGCGCCGTCCGCGCCGCGCGCGGCGCGCGGCAAGAGTTCTGCTCCTAGTAATATGGATCGGATGTGCCACTCCAAAACGAGCTGGGGGACGCAAGGAGTGGAAGCGAGCGTGCGCCCGCGGCCGCCTTGGCTCAAGCGGCCGGTCGCCTAGATTTGACTGTGCCTCACCGCGGGGCACACAATTGCTATCGAGACTAAAAGGTTTCCCCTCTTACTTGAAATGGCATCTCCTCTTGCATTGGGACTATCGCTACTACGATCTACCAGAGCGGGAGCTTGGCTTCGCCTGAGGCGAAGCTGTTGGCTGGGTTTCCAGCCCCCTTCAAACTTGGTAGCGGAGCTGGCCTATGGTGGCCAGATCTAGCTCTACTCCTCACCGTCCACGGCACCATCTGGTGGACTACAGATACGGTAGAACATCCGTGTGCATCGACAACAAGGAACCCTGCAACACGACCACGACTACCAGACTGGTCACTGTTCGATGTACAAATCAGCTTACAAAACTTGCGAAGCCTTGACACCAGCGCGGTAACACGCGAGTTGCGAAAGCTGCACTTACGCTGGTTCCATGCGAAGGAGTCTAAGATGCGATGCATCTTACGCAGAATAGGTCTGGACAGTGTTAGACTCACCTCATCAAGGGCGACTGCGACACGTGCCGAGACTGCAGAGCTCGGGACAACCCTGGACACACAGTTATGCCCTCTACTGCATTACTTGGCAAATTCAATGACGAAGTGGAATGTGATTTGAGTTTCCACACGCAAGAACACAATATATTTCACATTATCGTTCGTTGTATACGATATGCTACTGGGATGGAAATATCAGACAAAACTATGACCGCTATCCTGGATGCATATCATCAGTGCTGGATGCAGTTTGGATTGGCTAAGGTGTTTTACTACGATGGAGAAGGTGCCCTTAATAATGGCCTTGCGAACGCAGTCCCCAAGGCAAAGGGCACTGAACTTAGACTACGTGCGCGTGGACAGCACGCTGCGACGATCGAGGCCAGAAATGGCATCCTACGTCATCTACTTCACGTCATGGAGGCTGAACTCAATAGGTAAGACATACCTCTTGTGTTCACCAGACTACTGCACGAAGCCTTGTTCGCCGCCAACGCATTTACCTTCTGCAATGAAGCGTCTCCATGCAATGCGCTGTTTGGACGGCAACCAGCACTGCTCCCTGACCTTCCTGCTCTGGACGACGAGCAGCCGACCGAAACATCATATCGTTTTTGTGAACAAACGATACGCAGAGTATGTATTGAAGCGATCACACAGGCTACGGCAGTAGCTAAGACCAATCGTGCTCTACTCACTAAAACGACAATTACAGGTCAGCGCTACGATGACGAAGGAGATTTGGTCGATTACCATCGCCCTACGACTACTAAAGATGACTGGGGGGGGGGGGGGGGGGGCTGGAATGGCCCGTTCCCAGTCGTATGGGATGATCATGAAAAGGGGTCAGGTCATTATCCGAGTAGGCAGTCGAGTTGTTCAAGTACAATGCGGCGATGCAAGACATTCGCTCTATATTGAAGCACTCATGGCCCGAGAGATTGGCTCCGACAACATCGCACTACCAAGTGTTGACGTTCGTAGCCAGCCTGTCAGCGCGGGGACCTGCCCTGACATTTGGCTGTGCACCGACCAAGAGAGTTACGCTTCATAAGACAACCGCAAGTCGTCTATCTCAAAAGGTACACTTGGCTCTGCAATATCTCATCAGAACCCTCTTTCGCATCGAGAACGTAGTTTCGGTCAGATCAGCCAACAGTAGACATAAGCCACTTCCAGTTACTTCTGCTGGCAGCTGCACATTGGCCCATTACGACAGCGACGTGAATCCAGGATTCCAGTACTACGAAGCAGAAGGTACTGCTCTGAATACACATGATATAACAGGATCAGCACCTTCCCGAATCATCCAATGCGTGAAGTCTACTAAACTTCAGGCAGGCTTCGATCAGGATATATCAATGTTTGAGGACGCAGCTGATGCGCCGACACGCGAAGGAGCCACAAGAGAGGCTTCAGAAGCCGTACCAGAACATGATGACGGACGGCTGTCTACGATCCACGAGGAATCAGAAGCTGATCTTGAGTCGCTTGTCATGGAGGTGCGGTGCGCAGAAATGCGAGAGGAAAGAGAACTGTTGGAGGCAACTCCGCTAGAATACCTCTTTACCGTACCCACACACATGGTTCCTGATCAGAGCGCGCTGATCCCTGTAGCTGATGAACAGCGGGGGCACCTGCCGAAGCGGGGACGCACTCGCGATCTCGATACCGTGGAGACGCACTACGCCCCCTGTGCACCATGGTCGAAGACGGCAGTTACGGACTCGACTCAAACGAAAACGGTCGGTGCGTTGAACTGTGCTTTACGACAGGAATGTCGAAGGTAGTCTTGTCCGAGCAGCAACGCTTGCTATTCGATGCCGACCGGGTGGCCACTATGCGAGTATATGTTGCCGCCGCTGCAACGCGAGCTGCGGTCGTCAAGGAAGACGACCGCATCACTAAAGCTGACATTCAGGTGAGCCCCGAGAACATATCGAAGGCCCTCTTCACTGAGCCCAAGACATGATTCGATAACAAATGATTCACAATGCAGGAGATCGCCACAGCGTCGAAAATCATGATTTCGAGTTATGTATACAATTGGAAATTCGTGGAGGACGAAAAGGGCGAGATGGAACGTGCCATCAGACTTCGTTTGGCACTTCGAGGCTTCATGGACTTTGAAGCTTTCGGCGCAGGAACATTTTCGGGAACGGCCAGAGGGTCGAGCCAGAGGCTACTGGCTAGCGCGGCAGCGTGCAAGAAGCAGTGGATCATTGCTCCCCTTGACATCAACATGGCCTTCCTGAAGGGATCGACTTTTCGGAAACTCGCTGAGGCAACTGGTGAGAAGGGACGCGCGGCGTGCTTTGCCTTGCCGCCTGGATCGGCAACTGCGCCCCGTACTCTTCCAGGATTTGAGAACTACGACGAGCCAAAGCACTGTCTACAGTGCTTGAAACCGGGCGCAGGCGCTAAGGACGCTCCACGGGCTCTCTCACATAAGCTCAGGAGAACCACCAGAGGATTTGGCCTCCGACCTACGTCTGACGACGAGGAGTTTGAGACGAGTAACGTCTTGCTCGTGGCCAATCATGTTGATGACATATGGCCGGTACTGCGGACGCTATTGGCAAGTATGCCAAATGCGTTGAGGATATGTTCGGTGAGTGTAAATTCAACAAGCACACGTACACTTATTGTGATGTGATATACATTAAGGATGACGACGGCAATGTTACTTTGGATCAAGATGAATATATCAAACAGCCCCGTCGTATACAACATCCTGAATTGACCAGTGCTGGTGGCAGACATGTTCGTCAGCCTCAGAGGTGCGCTGGCGTACGCGCTGGTTACCCAGGTATGGTCGACGGTATATGTTGTATCTCTACAGCGTGTCCAAGAGCCGACCGATATTCAAGTGCGACGACAGAGCGCGACCACTGGAAAGTTACAGGCCTGTCCGAAGAAGATCGTCTACCAGGCGATGAACCCCGCGGGCGAGGTCGACTAACATAGCGACTCAGGCGATCGACGCCTGAGTGGAGACGCCGATGACGACGTCAAAGGCTATGGCATTCGCGGGGCAAACCTGCTACGACGTGGAAACACGTCATCTGGCAAGTCTGTCGTTCACTTGATTGGTGCGCGCTGCAAGTCTCACCGCTTGCAAGTCCGCTCTAGCTACTCAGCAGAGACACTTGCAGCAGCCCGTAATTTGGAGGACTGTTATCCCACGGTTGTGACTCTGCACGAGCTCCACGCGGGGCCACTCACGCCCACTCAGTTGGAAGATATACTTGAGTTCGGTGGCCTGAACATCAAGGTCACCTTGACCATCGATGCTGAGTCTGTTTTTAAGACCTTGTCAAGCAAAACTTGAAGAAGCCAGCTGAGCGTACCCTTTTAGGACACATCAGTTGGATACGACAGATGATGAAGCGTGGAATCGTGCATAGCATTCAGTGGTGCGATACCCGCGACATGACTGCGGACGGGCACACCAAAGGGAGCATCGACAGAGGGATGCTCCTACAAGTCATGGGGGGCATGCGTACCTTCAAACATGACTTGAAAAGACATACTCCATATCGGGCCGGCCAGACAAGAAGCTCTGAGGCCGCCCGATGAGTACGTTATATTTGCGAGGCAACTTGCTGGCGGGTCCACCTCCTTTGGGCCAGTTTCCTTTCCTGTCTGTGTATAGGTTAGCTGCTGAATTGTTCCTGCTAGACGGGTGGTGGACGCACGCTTCGTCCCCCCCCCCCCCCACGACTTCTAAAGCGAGCTTGGGGACGCAAGGAGTGGAAGCGAGCGTGCGCCCGCGGCCGCCGTGGCTCAAGCGGCCGGCCGCCTAGATTTTAACTGCGACTCACCGCGATGCACACAATTGCTATCGAGACTAAAAGGTATCCCCTCTTACTTGAGATGGCATCTCCTCTTGCGTTGGGACTATCGTTACTACGATATAGCAGAGCGGGAGCTTGGCTTCGCCTGCGGCGAAGCTGTTGGCTGGGTCTTCCAGACCCCTTCGAACTGTGCCAGCGGATCCGTCCGTCCTCCTCCTCCTCCTTCTCCTCCTCCTCCTCCCCTCTCCCTGTTGTTCCAACCCTCTGGCGGCGGGGCGCATCTTTACCGTGTTTCCGGTGACCTCCCCTCCTCCGTACCTTCTCTTTGCTCGCCTCTTCCTCTCTTGCCCTCATCCGCCATCCTCCCCTCCTCCTTCTCCTAGTTCCGGAGACGAGCACAAACGCTGGGCTTGGGAGGTCTCGGGGGCCCCGATGAAGGACAGGGCCGTCTCGGACAACGGCATGCGCGTGGTTGTCCGACGGTCATTCATCGAGGCGCGCGAGGAGGGAACTCCGAGGAAGGAGAGGCAGCACCATCACCAGCGGGCTTCGTCCCGCGAGGACTCCCACGATGCTTCCCAGAGCTGAAGATTGGAGATGCTTCGAGCGGGACGCCGCAGGAAAAGGAGGAGGAACCGGGTACAGGAACAACTTATGGCATAAACATTAACGTGCATGTCAAATGTTGGCGCCGATTTCGTGGATCGGCGCTGGCCTCTTTTTCCTGGCGCGCAGAGCGTGCCAGGGGCGGCGCCACAGCGACGCCAGGGCGGCGCCAGAGGCGCCACCAGGGGGCTCCAGCGGCGATCCGAGAAATCCGTGCTGACCTCCGATCATGTTTATGTCATTTGTTATTCTTCGATGGGGGGGAGGAGGAGCAGGCGGAGGCGGGGGCCGTGGCTGCGCAGGTGATCGAGATGGAGGATTGCGCGTCGGAGGCCGCGGGTATGCGCAGGGTGCACTCCGCACCAGCGCCGGAGAGCAGGCCCGCCTGCCACTCAATTCCTCTCCCCGTAGGCGATCTCGCGCGAACGCACAGCCGTCGCCGACGGACACCCCAAGGGGCAAGCTTGAGGAAGAGAGGGAGGATCGGGGAACAGATCGCAAGAGCATAAACGTTGGACGGTCCTCGCGGATTTCTTCAATCGCCGAGGTAGTTCCCTTGGCGGCGCCTCAGGCGCCGTCCATGGCGCGGTATGCGCGCCAAGGGAGGCCCAGCGCTGACCTCCAAATGTTCATGTTTCTGTGATGTCTTGTTCCTTGGAGGAGGAGGAGGAGGAGGAGGAGGAGGAGGAGGAGGAGGAAGAGGAGGAGGAGGAGGAGGAGAAGGAGGTTGTGAGTTTTGTTTTCGTTGGTGTTCGCGGATGTCTTCAGTGCTTTGGCATATTGGGTGGCCTGCTTTTGTTGTGTTCAAAGCCATTTGGAGGGCCGGGGATTCCTAAGGCCCCTGCGAAGTCCCTGTTTAAGTTGGCTCCTCTTGGTGTTTTCTTGGGCCTCTCTAGGGTGCTCGGGGGCCGTCCTGGGACGATGTTTGGAGCCTTTTGGGCTGCTTTGGAAGCTTTTTCAGAAGTCATGCAAGCTGAACGTGTTGAAGTTCTGAAGAACTTCAAAGATAGTGGACAATCTAAAATTGCCCGAGCTACTCCCTGACAAGGTTTCAGGACGGACTTGGGGGCCTTCTTCGGGCGTGTTGGAGATATGGAGTATGAATCACGCTCCCGAGACTTCGGGAAAGATCATGTGATCGTACCTTGGAGCGCCCAAGAGTACTCAGAAGCCCTGCCACTCGATGGCGTGGGGCTCTGTTGAAACTCTTGCACACTCACATATTGGTGGGTCCTCGGGGACTGGATTACACTCCGATCAGTACCTCGCGGCACAAATCTATATCGCGCCATTCGTGCTACGTTTCTTGAACCAGCGTGCTCGCAGGGTGCGGGATGCACATACGACAATATGTTGCACCATGGTCGGAACCCCAATCGAGGAAGGAGTTTGCAGAACAAAGATTCCTTGATCTTTTTGTTCGAGTGCAGAACCTGAAGTCTCATTTCCGCCTCCCGTCTCCGCTGCCTTCCCGCCTTGTCTTCTTGTTCTCCCGACGTGCCCCCAGCGTCCCTGCTGCATCCAGAGGTCTTTGGAAGCCTCTGGAGGCTTCGAAGGGCTCAAACACATCAACAATCTTAAATCTTCTCCATCATCCCTTTCGTCGTCCTCGTCGTCTTCCGAGGACTCCGTCGACTCCGAGCTCAGATGTGGAGGACCTGCCTCACCAGATCGACGACGCCGCCCAGGAGCCGTGCGCCTCTCTGCTTGTAACACGCCTTTTCACGAGCGATGCAGGCGCGCGGACCCCAGACAGTCAGACGTGTCGGGAGTCAGCGGGCAGATGCAGCCGGCAAAGACACGTGGCGGACCCAGATTGGCGAGAATCCCAGCGGCGACCGTGAGGTGCAGAAACCACAGGAACTCCGAGAGGCGACCCAAAAGTGCGGAAGCCACACGCGTGCAAGCGACGACTGTTCGGCGGCGCGCCGGGTGGGGGAATGCAGAGGGGACTGGCATTCTCAGAAGGTGGCGGGGCTTTTCGCAAGCCCGTCGCGCTTTCTGGGAAGCCGTCTGTGGTTTCGGGTAAAGCTCTCCAGGAGGTTTCCCCGAAACCACAAGCAGTCCCGTAGCCATGTTGGCTCAAACCATTGGGCAGGAGTCGGCCACGGCTTTCGCGCGGTGCGCGAGTGGGTCATCGCAGGCGCAGCGATAAACGGTGGCCTTCACAAGGCGGCGAAGGCTGCCTACGGAGACGTTGCCGCGGTGCTGGCTGCTCTCTCCGGTGGCAGTTGTGGCGACGGTGGCGGCTGCGCCGGCGGGCTCACGGCCCGACGCTCTTGCTGCCCTGTGGCTGCGACGAAGCGCGGCGCTGCGCAAGTGGCCGAGGACGGCCAGGAGCACCGCGGCGGGCATTGCAGTAGTGGCGCTGTCACACGGGAGCGCGTGGAGGAGGCGCTGTTGGCAATGCAGGACGCGGCGGCGCTGCGCGCAAAACCTTCGGCGTCGGAGGCCAAGCGGCTACTGGCTGCCAAAGGAACCGAGGGAAATATGCTGGCTAGACGAGCTGGCGATTTTTCCAAAGCGCGCAACGTGGGGTGTCGCCCCGCTGTTGGCTTCTATTCCGGCATCACCATGGTGCTCGACGGGGGCCCAGTCGTTGATGCCGCAGGGGGCGCTGCGGTGGCGAGGCCCATGAAGTCGCAGTCGCAGGAGGTGCAGCGGGCCATTAGGTGGAAGCGAAGCTGAGCGCGGTGAAGGTTGAACTCAAGGCCGTCTTCGAGCAGCTGGAGGACGCGCGCTCGGAGTTTGCAGCGGCGTGCGAGCGGGCGTGCATGGTCGAGGCTAAGGCGGCGCGCCTGGGCAAAGATCTCGCGGAACCCCATGATGACATCGACTTGATGCAGAGGGAGTTCGTCGACACCAAAGTGATTGCCAACACCAAGGTGACGGCGACGGACGCCGACCTCGCAATGAACGACGGCCTCTTCAGGAAGATCAGGGAGCCGAGCGCGGAGCTGCAGACGGCGCTCGAGGCCGAGCGCGCGAAGGTGAAGCAGCAGGCGGCTGGAGCTGATCTGGCAACGCTGCTCGCACAGGATACCACGGCGGCTCCAGGATACGAGGTCCGAGGCGAACGCGGCCCCGAGCAGTGGAGGCAAGGGCGAGCGGCGCCGCAGGTAGTTCCCGAGGTGTTGCGAGATTCTCTTGAGGCTCCCAGAGTTGCCTCGGGGGTGTCTTCGAAGTGTAAGTGGTCTGTGGGTGCTGCTATAGTGGCGGCCCGCGTGGACGACGTCTTTTGCGCGACGCACTTGCGCGGCCATGTGCGCAGCCCGGCGCGCGCGCCAGTATCCGGATGTAGTCCGTGCTCCACGTTTGTGGGCATCGAGGACCGCCCGCTGTTCAACGTGCGTTTGGGTATCTGCGCCGCAGCAGAGGTCGCAATCCTTTGCGTGACAAGCGAGTGTCGATGAGTGGAAGCCTTGCCCGGAGAAAACATGAGCCGCGCGTGTCTCGCGCGGGGAAGCCAGCGGAGTGGCCCCCCCGATCGGCGGGCGGGCGGGCCTTCGCGCGGCTTTGGCGAATTCTGCAATCGCTGGGCGCCGGCAGTGCGAGGGCGCGCAGCACTGCGAGCGGTCGCTCGCTCGCGACGCCAGCCTTCACGGGGTCGCGCAGGGGCCCTTGAACCGTCGAGAACGCTCCTCGCCGGAAAAGCGGCCTTGGGGCGGGGTCGGCGGCTCGGGCGCGTCTCGCGGCGAAGAATGCCGGGTCGGCGGTTCGTCGAGGGCGGCCCAGGGGGAAGCGTTGACAAGGGGGGGTTGGAGATCGTGGCCAGGGGCAGGACATTCTGTTGGATTGCACAGCGCTTCTTTTTAGAACGCGCCCCCTCGCCCACCCCTGGCCCGCGAACGCGACCCCCTCGAGCTCGGCGGCGCCATCGCCGCGGAGCGCTTGGGGGGGGGGGCCTGGCATTTTTGGCGGCGACCATTCGCCGGGGCGCCCCATGCTGCGGGCCTGCGGGAGGGCCCCCAACGTTGACTAGCCCATGGATGTCAGCCCATCCCCTCCTCCTGCCCCCGAAAGCTGCGCATCGATGGTCGCGCAGTTCTCGGGCCCCCCATCCCTCGTTTCTCTCGGCGGGGGGCGAGCTCGACTCCCCATTCTCATCCTGCTCCGCCCCCCCCCCCCCCCCTCCCCTCCTTTGCTCCCCGAGCCATTTTGGCTCGAAATCTGGTGGCCATGCAGCGTTCGGCCTTCGGCGGGAGTTGGGCCCCCGCTCAGCGCGTTCGCGCCGTCGCCGCGGGGCCGGGGCCCCCGCCGCATTCTCTGCCGCGGCATGCCCGAGCGAGCAGAGAAGAGGGAAGAGAAAGGACAGGACGGATGGACAAGTCAAGATGGGCCTCGAAGAGCTACGCTGGCGCGCGTGCCAGACGGCGCCGCGGCCGGGCTCGCTCGCCGCCCGTCGGCCCCGCCGGCGGGGCGCCCGCCGCCGCCCCCCCGCCCCCCCCCCCCGTCGTCGAAGCGGGAGAGACACCGCGAGAAGGATGAGCCCACGCCTGGGCGACGGCCACGGAACAGAGACGGTTGGTCTCCAGCCCCGCCGGGGGGAGAAGCTCGCGCACAAGCTGCCGCTGTACTTCGCGCCGCTGACGTTGCTGATATGGAGGCCATTCCCACTTTCCCGTCGCAGGAGCTGGCGGCGCAAGTTGTTCTCGCAGGAGGCCCCCTCGAAACCACAAACAGCCCCGTAGCCATTTGGTCGGCGCACAGGAACCCGACACCAACACCAAGAAGCCATTAGAAAAGAAAACATTGCAGCCTCTGTTGAATGCCGTCGCCCGTGTCTTCGGGTTCGCGTGTCCAGAGTTGATCAATGCCAGCTCTGAGCGCGCGGGAACATAACGGGCCGCCCCCAGTTCCCCAAGTGAGCGTTAGGATTTCCATGGGCCGCGCGAGTCCCGCGGGCCGTGCGAACCCAGCCAGCCCCATGAACCCCACAAGTTCCACAAAGGGCTTCATGGGCCGAACGCGCGCCGCAGCGCGCATAAGCCCAACGCGCCGCGCTGGCCCAGCATGCCGCGCGGGCACCATTGGCTCCCTGATTCGTCAGGGCCACATCTGGATTCTGAGCCTTGGAAACCCCGCGGGCCATGGGGGCCCCGTGGGCCTCAGGGGCGCCATGAGCTGCATGGGACGTTTCCCTATCATGGAAGCACCGTGGCTTGCAAAGTCGGAGTGCAATGCGAGCCATCTCAAGCTTTCTTGGCTTCGTTGGGTCGCCCAGCCCCCACAGGGAAAGCGCTCCGAACTTTTCCAGTGGCGTCTTGGTGATGGTGCCGGCTGCTTGTTCCCTGCAACATCAGAAAGCCGACACCAGCACCGAGGCCCCCACTGGAACGGCGGCCCCATGTGCGAGCTGAACCCCTCGACGATTTCGGAAGGTTGCCACGGGCTGCGGGCTTGGGTCAAGAGGGGGCCACGGTCTTATGCCCAGGCCGCGACGGGCGGCCACCGCCCCCTTTCGCAGAGAGCGGCGGATTCGAACTCGCCGGGCCTTGGTGTCGGGCCAGACGAGGGCCAGGGATGCGACGCGGGCGGACATAGGGTGGGTGAGGGGCGGGGGGAATGAGAGGGGGGCGGGCGGGCGGGGGCAGGCGTGGTGGAGGGCGGCGGTGGGGGGGAGTGAAGCTTCAGCCATGGGGGATGTCGCAGCCTTCCCTCTTCTCTCCCTCTTCTCCCGAGAGCGCCCGCTAGTTTCGCTTCTCGCTTGCACTTGTTATTTCCTGCTTTCCCTCCTGCGTGCTGCGCGACGTCTCCCTTCCCCCGTCCTCCTCGCCCACTCTGCGATTCCTCAGGCCAGGGCGGGCTCGCGCTGGTCCAAAACGCAATTCGACATTTCGAGAAACAAATACTTTCTTGGTGCTGGTGTCGGCTTTTTGTTCTCCCATTTTGGCTCAAACCATTGGGCAGGAGTCGGCCACGGCTTTCCCGCGGCGCGCGAGTGGGTCATCGCAGGCGCAGCGATAAACGGTGGCCTTCACAAGGCGGCGAAGGCTGCCTACGGAGACGTTGCCGCGGTGCTGGCTGCTCTCTCCGGTGGATGTTGCGGCGACGGCGGCGGCTGCGCCGGCGGGCTCACGGCCTGGCGCGCCTGCTGCATTGCGGCTGCGACGAAGCGCGGCGCTGCGCAAGTGGCCGAGGACGGCCAGGAGCAGCGCGGCGGGCATTGCAGCAGCGGCGCCGTCACACGGGAGCATTTGGAGGAGGCGTTGTTGGCAATGCAGGCCGCGGCGGCGCTGCGCGCAAAACCTTCGGCGTCGGAGGCCAAGCGGCTACTGGCTGCCAAGGGGACCAAGGGGAATATGCTGGCTAGACGAGCTGGCGATCTTTCCAAGGCGCGCAACGTGGGGCGTCGCCCCGCTGCTGGCCTCTATTCCGGCATCACCATGGCGATCAACGGGGGCCCAGTCGTTGATGCCGCAGGTCGCGGCAGGGGGCGCTGCGGTGGCGAGGCCCATGAAGTCGCAGTCGCAAGAGGCGTAGCGGGCCATTCGGTGGAAGCGAAGCTGAGCACGGTGAAGGTTGAAATCAAGGCCGTCCTCGAGCAGCTGGAGGACGCGCGCTCGGAGTTTGCAGCGGCGTGCGAGCGGGCGTGCAAGGTCGAGGCTAAGGCGGCGCGCCAGGGCAAAGATCTCGCGGAACTCCATGATGACATCGGCTTGATTCAGGAGGGGTATCGTCGACACAAAAAGTCATTGCCAACACTATGGTGACGGCGACGGACGCCGACCTCGCAATGAACGACGGCCTCTTCAAGAAGATCAGGGAGCCGAGCGCGGAGCTGCAGACGGCGCTCGAGGCCGAGCGCGCGAAGGTGAAGCAGCAGGCGGCTGGAGCTGATCTGGCAACGCTGCTCGCACAGGATACCACGGCGGCTCCAGGATACGAGGTCCGAGGCGAACGCGGCCCCGAGAAGTGGAGGCAAGGGCGAGCGGCGCCGCAGGTTGTTCCCGAGGCTTTGCGCGATTCTCTTGAGGCTCCCAGAGTTGCCTCGGGGGTGTCTTCGAAGTGTAAGTGGTCTGTGGGTGTTGCTATAGTGGCGGCCCGCGTGGACTACGTCTTTTGCGCGATGCACTTGCGCGGCCATGTGCGCGGCCCGGCGCGCGTGCCAGGTTCCGGATGTAGTCCGTGCTCCACGTTTGTGGACATCGGGGGCCGCCCGCTGTTTAACGTGCGTTTGGGTCGGTTGCCCGAGACAGCATAACGGCCATGCCCAATGAGATCGGAGTGCAAATCAAACATTGCCAGTTTCTCACAATTTACGAGGGTTTCTGAGAAGCCCCGCCAATTCCTGAGAAGGCCAGCCCCCTCTGCCTCCCCCGCGGAGGGGCCGCCAAACTGCGATGTCTGGCAGCCGCGGCTATATGGGATTCCGAGCGGCGACCGCGAAGTGCGGCAGCCGCAGCGAGGAATATCCAAGCGGCGACGGGGGGGTCTGGCAGCCGTGGCAACAGGGCTCCAATCGGCGACCAGGAGGTGCATGTCTGCGGCGCCCTCCCGACGCCGATTGGACCACGGCTACAACTGCCGCATTTGGCCGCGCGTTAAAGTTATTATCTGCGCCGCAGAAGAGGTCGCAAGCCTTTGCATGACAAGCAAGGGTCGATGAGTGGAAGCCTTGCCCGGAGAAAACATGGGCCGCGCGTGCCTCGCGCGGGGAAGGCAGCGGAGTGGCCCCCCCGATCGGTGGGCGGGCGGGCCTTCGCGCGGCTTTGGCGAATTTTGCAATCGCGGGGCGCCGGCAGTGCGAGGGCGCGCAGCACTGCGAGCGGTCGCTTGCTCGCGACGTCAGCCTCCACGGGGTCGCGCAGGGGCCTTTGAACCATCGAGAACGCTCCTCGCCGGAAAAGCGGCCTTGGAGCGGGGTTGGAGGCTCGGGCGCGTCTCACGGCGAAGAATATCGGGTCGGCGGTTCGTCGAGGGCGGACAAGGGGGAAGCGGTGACAAGGGAGGGTTGGAGATCGTGGCCAGGGGCAGGACATTTCGTTGGATTGCATAGCGTTTCGTTTTTAAACGCGCCCCCTCGCCCACCCTTGTCCCGCGAGCGCGACCCCCTCGGGCTCGGCGGCGCCATCGCCGCGGAGCGCTTGGGGGGGGGGGGCTGGCATTTCCGGCGGCGACCATTCGCCGGGGCGCCCCATGCTGCGGGCCTGCGGGAGGGCCCCAACGTTGACTAGCCCGTGGATTTCAGCCCTTCCCCCCTCCTGCCCCCGAAAGCTGCGCATCGAAGGTCGCGCTTGCCTGGCCCTCATGGGTCTTCAAGTCTCGGGCCCCCCATCCCTCGTTTCTCTCGGCGGGGGGCGAGCTCGACTCCCCATTCTCATCCTTCTCCGCCCCCCCCCCCCACCCCTCCTTTGCTCCCCGAGCCATTTTGGTTCGAAATCTGGTGGCCATGCAGCGTTCGG